CAGTCAGCCTGCGAGGCATTCCTCAACACCTGCTGCGATACCAGGGGCCAAATCCTGATTATGCATGGTGAAAAGCAAGACCCTTTCTATGGCGGCGAGATGGAGCTCCTACAAGAAATACAGTTCAATTTCCACATTGACCCAACTTGTAGCCTTGTTTTTATCAAGTCCAGTGGCAACAGAATTAAATTGCTAGCGCTTTCCAAGTGCAACGTTGAAGAGCCTCCATATCCAAGCCATACATATGAGCTCAGGAGCCAAGTTTCCACTCATACTTCAGTCCAATCTTAACTGTTCTCTTGTTGGTTTATAATGTACGCTATGTTCTTTTCATTAACTTGTCTGGCTCCCCCTATCATGCGTAAGCCAATTATACTAAACTCCTGCTATTTTTGGGATCCCCCCTCGTTTCAGTTGTATTACCAATGCAAACTTACTGGTTTTGTAGCTGTGTTTCACTGTAACACTACACCTTTTGGTTTTATGTGAAACACTATCATAACTCTTATTATCCAAATGTTTTCCTCCTTTGTCTTCCCCATTTACCGCCAATACTCATTAACTCTCACTTTCTTGCTACGATGTTTTGTTTCATCTTTATTCCCCAAAAAAGAAACACAATAAAAGAAAATGTTTTGTTTTAAATGTTTACTCTTTTTAAAACTTTCTTCAATTAAATCTTCACAAATACTTACTTTTATACCATAACAAAACTGAACCACTAATTACTTTTATGTTTCTTTCTTACTTCAATTATCCCTTTCACACATTAATCTTGCATTCATTTCATGCCCGAACTCTATACCTCCCATTGGGCATAACAACCGCGCGAAGCGCGTATCCTCGCTAGTGTATACATAACTTGTCCTTTCGGTTTTTCAATCTAAGCATTAAAAATTCCCTAGTCCAAGTATTATTTCAATTTGCACGATTAATACTTATCCAGGCCATTTTCATTATCACCATTTATTATTATTATTATTATTATTATTATTATTATTATTATTGTGATTCATATCTTCGTACACATTTAAAATTCTCACCGATCCATAATGAAATATCCCAACCTACTAATTTAATACGTCAATGGTCCAGTTCAATAGATAGTCTTATTTTTTGTGTGTTTCAGCCCATTTTCTACAGTACGTTACGAAGTATATTAGCTTGCCTTCTCTAATCTTTACATACTTGGAATCACCAGAAAACGAAGAGAACGCAGAGGTCGTAACTTACCTACGCCGGACGAATTTCACGGTGGCAGGACGGCGGCGGACGTCTTATGACAGCCGATCGAGCAGATGCTGGCAGCTTCCCTTTCCTCCGGCGAGTTCCTCTTCCTCTGGCGTCTCTCGGTTTTCTGCTCCAGTAACGACCTCACCTTCTCGATCTCTCAAGATGAGAGTCTTATTACTCTTTCTTTTCTCTCGTTTTTTTCTCACAAAGTTTTCTCTCTTTTATTCTCTTCGGCGCGGTTCGTCGCTCGTGGGTTTGATGTAGCGTAGGTTGATCGCAAGGCTGTTATTTATAGGAGTGGCCGAAGGTTCTAAGTCTCTAAAAATTAGCTTTGATGATTTTATCCGATTAGCTCCGCAGCGTGCAGTTCGTTCGACGATCTTATCATATCACATGCGCAAGTTACTTTCTTGTCTACCAAGTATTATTATGTGTGTTACGTATTAGTGTATCACGTGTATGTTTATATATTTAATTACTTCATATTAAGTGTATGTGTGTGTCACGCTATATACGTACATCTATGTTATTATTATTATTATTTTATTATTATTGTTGTTATTATTATATATCTATTAAACTTAATGCTATCATTTTTTTAAATGACTACTTACCACACATTATAAAAATATTATCTTATCAACTTAATTATGACAAATGTCACTTTTGTAACATTTTATCTGATTGACTAAATTAATTATTTTATTTTTCTTAAAGTTTTCAAAGTGCCACATTATACCCTCCTTAAAAGATGTTTAGTCCCGAAACATAAACTAACATCTACTATCTATAATATAAAATTACTAAGTGTTACATTCTACCCCCCTTAAAGAGGAGTTACGTCCTCGTAACTAGAAAATTACCTTATTCAAATAACTCTGGGTAACGTTGACGCATATCGTCTTCAGTTTCCCAAGTAGCATTTTCGGCCAAGTGATTAGACCACAATACTTTAACCATTTTAACTACTTTTCTCCTAGTCTCACGAATCTTGGTATCAAGAATCTGAACAGACCTCTCCTCATATGTCAATGTCTCGTCCAACTCGACCACCTAATGAAATCGAGGTTAAACGTGTCTAATTCGGTTTTAAATATCTTAATGTTACGGTTTGTACCTCGGGGTTAAGTACATGTGATTCATCACGGACGTACTTCTTCAATTGGGATACATGAAATACGTTGTGTACCTTGCACACACCAAAATGATTTTAGGTTTGTGTTTTAAACTTCCAAATAACTTTAAAAAGAATTGATTTACTTCATACCTTACTCAATTCTGTGGGCAGAGCTAGTTTGTATGCTACTCTTCCCACTTTCTCCAGAATCTCGTAAGGCCCAATGATTCGAGGACTTAGCTTGCCCTTCTTCCCAAATCTCATGACGCCTTTAGTGGGAGAGATTTTGAGGAGTACTTTCTCTCCTACCTCGAACTCAGCTAATTTTCTTCCTAGGTCAGCATATGACTTTTGTCTATCTTGTGCTGCCTTCATCCTCGCCTGAATAAACTTGATCTTCTCCATCGTATCTTGCAAATATTGCGGCCCTAAGACAACTTGGTCCACCATATCACCCCAGCACAAAGGGCTTCTACACTTTTGACCATATAGAGCCTCGTATGGAGCCATTTTAATGCTCGTATGATAGCTATTGTTATATGAGAACTCTATCAGGTCCAAGTGTTCATCCCATGACCCTTGTAGGTCCAGTACACATGCTCTCAGCATATCTTCGAGTGTCTGAATTGTTCCCTGGGGGTGGACTGTGCCGGCAATAGGGTCAAATGCTACACATGTGGCAAAATGGGCCACCGAGCATTTGAATGCTGGGATAACGTCGGGAGAGGTTCACAGAACCAGGGACCTAACCGTGGAGGCGACAATCAAGGTAGGAATCAAGGTGGGAACAGGCAAGGAGCTGAGAACCGGGGCAACAACAACCCGGGAAATCAAGCACAAAACGGTAATCGGGGCCAAAATCAGAACCAGGGAGGGAGCAACAACAAAAACAACAACAACAACGCTCCCAATCAGGGCCGGATCTATGTAATGAATCAGGCTCAGACCCACGCACACGATGTGGTTTCAGGTATCATTCATGTTAATACCACTCCTGCTTATGTTCTATTTGATTCTGGTGCTTCTCACGGTTTTATCTCTTCTAAATTCGTTGAGAAGATAAAGATAGAACCTGAAGCTAGCATATAGTTGAATGTAAAAACAGGAAACAATAATTTTGTAGCCTGTAGAAATGTATACATGAATGTACCCATGGTTATAGCCGACGTCAACCTACCTGGGGATTTGGTGCAATTCGACCTCGAAGACATTGACGTGGTGCTGGGAATGGATTGGCTTGGGAGATACAAGGCAAAGAACTGAAAGAACAACTTGAAGAATTGCTTGAGAAGGGATACATCAAGCCGAGTATGGGACACTCTCATTTCAAATCGAACCGTTTGAAACGGGTACGGGACCGGTCCTAGATTTTGAGAACCCAAAAATACCGGACCGAACCGTTCGAAAATAATGCATTTGAATTTTTTATATTTTTTCTAAACCAATAGATCTCTTTTATAGATAAACAATTTTATAGCCCAAGTATGTATTCATGCGTTCCTAAACTAGCTAAATGTGTGTGTTTATATAATATATTGTTATTTTAATTTTTAGATAATTTATGTTATATTTTGATATGTATTGAAAGATTTTTTTTTTTTAGAAATCATTAAGGACTATTCATTTCTAGTAATGGTTTGCTAGTAATGTTTATGTACATGACTTTTTGTAGTATATATCATGTTTGCACAATTTTACAATTTAATTAATATGATTTATATCTTAGCTCTCAAGTTTTAACTATAAATTAAATTAGAACTACAGAGAAATATTTAACCTAGCACGAAGACGAAGAACATTGAAGATTTCAATTATATTCAACAATTTGATGATATTCTTTTTCATATTTTCACATGAACTTAGTAAATAAATTACAAATGATATTTATCTCGTGCGTCATCATTTTACTATACTTTTTCTTAGTTGTGCTGCACTATTTGTGTATTTGTGAACTTTAGTACTACATATGCAATTTATTGTATTTATATTGACATTTCATGTGAGTTGGTTGGTGTGAAGATATCTACCAATTGCAAGATTTGTTCAAATTTTTTAGCATGTGTTTGACATTGTACCGTACCGTTTTGTACCGTTCCGAAACGGCATGGTACTGAACGGTTCCATCCTTGAAACCGGACCGTACCGGACCGTTACAAACCTAACAGATACATTACGAGTTTTACTAGTTTACCGGACCGTTCCGGACCGCGCCTACCCCTATGTAGTATAGAGAGAGACAAAGAGATAACTACTCCCTCCGTCCCTTAAAACTTTGCCAACTTTCCTTTTTTGGATGTCCCACTAACTTTGCCACTTACCATTTTAAGTAAAGAATTTGTGGTTCCAGTTAATTCTCTCTCCTCTGCACAAACCTCAACCACACAGTTTTTACTTTATTAATCCCCGTGCCGGTCAAACTTGGCAAAGTTTTGAGGGACGGAGGGAGTATATTAATATATTACTATTTTCGTAATACAAATGTATAACTATATTATTATATTACTATTACTATTTTCGTAGTATATAAAATATATATTAATATACGAGTAATTTCACAATACTTAGTTAATCACAATTTTAGTTATTTAATATATCTAAAGTTTTTTTTTTTTTTTTAAATTTTACTTTACTAGGGTTAAGATAGATACATCGGTCCCATTAGTTTGAAGTCTCTTCCGTTCCCATTCGTGAAAACTTCGCCGGGTCTTCTACACATCTCCAGAGCTGCGACAAATCAGAGGACTTCTTCAGAGGCCAGAGCTGCGATAGAGGACTTCTCCCGCCAGAGGATTTCTCCACAACTTCGACAACCAGAAGAGTATCCCTTCGACCCTTCAGCCCTTCTCCATCGAATCTTGCTGAGGTAGTCTTTGTTTAGTTTTTATTCAATCTTCGTTTATATATGCTGAGCTAGTCTTAGTTTTTACTACTGAGGTTTTTATATGGTAATCCAAATAGCTATACCTCCTATAAGAATGATCAACGATGATATATGTTTACTCTTTCACTTTTAATTTTGTCTTTAAGCATTCCTACAGTTTATACTCTTCGAATTTTGTGTTTGATTTGTTTTAATTTTGTGTTGTTTAATGATCTTGTTTGTGCACTTATGCATTATATATTTTAATTTCTTATATTCAAAACATCTTATAGAATTAATGGTATTGATTTTGCATTTAAATATTTTTCCTATGCTATAAGTATAGTTCTATATAATCTCCCTCCTTCATATAAAAGTTCTGGATATACCATTCTAAGTTTTTAATGATATTTTCAAATCCTTATCTCTTAACACGTCTCAAGTGGTTTGCTCATCACCCTGTCATTTTCAAAGTTCTGGATATTTAGACCTTGTTTAAATATTATGGTCACTCAACACTTCGTTTGAGTTATTGTGAAGTTTCCATTGTGATCTAACCTTTTATGGTCCAGTTAATATATACATGTGCACCACGTTGAACTTTGAAATCAAAAAAATTATTACCTTTTTCCTGGTTAGTCTATAAGGCCCTGGTTATATCGATCACACCTCTCTTGGAGGTTGAGCTATCAAGCAAATGGGTGATGCCGGTGAATTGGGCTACAAACCTCCTCCTGATTTTGAAGAGGATAAAAGAGATCCACTGGTTGTGTTTAACTTAACAGATTCAACTGAACTCTGGCTCATGCAATGGCCCCTAAATCATGTATGTGGTCATTCATTTTCTGGCATTATTTACCCCTCATGTAATGTGTCGTGTGCTCTCTAAAAAATGTCACTATGTGACCTTTTGACGTTTTCATTTTTGTCTAAAAGTAAAGAATAATTGTCCGATGTATGAATGATTAAACATACTTCGTAAGTTGAATATGCTGATTCTGAATGAACTTGGCATTTTATATGGAGTTTTTTTGTGTGTTCCCTCATCACTACCATATGAGGTAGAGAATATGCGTAGTTTGGAAAGAGCAACTGTAATTTATACAACTATATTGTAATAGTGATGGAATCTATATTTCTGCTATTAATTTGGTGTCAAATAAATTACATTTCCCTTGGGGATGTTCTAGGCTAAAGATTTTGATGGGCAAGAAGTGTCACTTGAGCTTAATCGTGATGGAAATTTAGGCAGCTTTGTGAGTCCTTCTGGCAAGTACTTCAACCAATCTAAACCTTATTCTTTATATTTCAAATTCTCTCTTTTTAGACAATATGATCAACATGTAAGTAGTAAGCTCTCATTTTGTTATTTGGAAAATGTTGTTCTTGATGACAGGAAAGTCTTATGATGTTTACAGTTTAAAAGCCCAGAATCCAGAGCTAACAGTGTTTTCATCTTCTTCAGAGGCTAAAGTTGGTGTGTATTTTATGTTATTTCATGCATTTCAAGTTCAGGGTTTTGATGCATATTGCATAATACAATTGTTTTAAAAACAATTCTCTCTCAAACATATGTTCAGGTAACTGAAAATCCTAACAGAGAAGCAAATTCGAAAACTTTTCGTTGATAAAAAACCGAACTGGAAAGTCACTATAGCCGAGGATGATGTTTGGACCATCTCCTCTATAGTTTATCCTCTATAGCTTAAGTATAGGTCACATCTACTCTATAATTCTGTGATACCCTCCAAAAAACGTAGGGGACAAAAGTTGCATTTTCATTTTCCAAAATTTACAAAAAGCTTCATATACAATCCTGGAAGCACCATTTAAACGTCCATTATTATAATCATTCTCACGCAGTCCTTTGTGCACTAAGTGGAAACCATGGTCAATTTTTTGTGGTGGTGGTGGTGGGGGGGTACATTATTCCTTTTATGGAATGCTTTGACTTTGTGGGATGTTTTGGCAGTTGGAAAGTTTTCGAGGGATGTTTCGTTTATACACTATCCAGAGCCCAGTGAATATCAGAAAAAGATCAAAACTGGTTTGAAGGAGCTAGCTCAAAGATCTTCAACCATCACAAAGACAGCATCAACTTTCCATCCCTCGAGTGCTACTAAAAGCAGTAAGCAAAAACTCTTGCAATCTACAAGTGTCTATACTGCCTCTGCTCCTAAAAGTCAACACAAGAGTCCCTCATCCAAACCAGCGGAACGGCCTAAGTCTCCCACGGAAAGAAGTGGCGGTGGGCATCCAACATCCGCTGACCAGTCATTGCAGGATTCTAAAAGAGCTAATAGTTCAATAACCACTTCGGGATCAGCAGGGCGTTCTCTAGAAAAAAAGTCAAAAAAGGTGAGGAATAAGTGAGCCTTCAAATTGATACAATATTCTTGAAGCAACTCGTTTTAAATCCATTTAGTCAAAGTTAGCAAATGTGTTTGCAATTTAATGACTTTTAAGAGTTGTATCCTGTTAAATATTGAATACTAGAAAAAGAAGACTTCAATTCCAGTCCCAAAGGTTGGATGATACTCTGTTCTCCGCTTCCGCATGGGAGTAGTGCGTGGACTCCTCTCTGGGTTTTGGATTACTTTTTGATGAGCATTGTTAGTATGTTTAATTTTATTTGGGAAAGTTGAATACAAATTGGGTTAGTTCTGACTTTTGAACTCGGAAAATGCTATGGATATAAATTAGAGAAAAATATGGGACAAAAATAATGACGGTAATTTATACCGTACAGCCGGCTGTACCTAAGGCATGGTACAACCGGGTTTTTTTGTAATTATTTGCAATTCTAATGGCAAAGGTAAGGTGTTATGTTCTCCTTAGAGTGTTATTTTCTTTAATATCAATAATACGGAGTATTCGATTTACTTTCCTACAAAAGGTTATCTATGGATCATAAGTTTTTGTTGGGCGAAGGAGTTATATGATTACTTTTCTTCAGGGAACTCAAGAATAACCAATTTCAAAAATCAAAATAAACCAATTGATATGACGATTTGATTTAAACCTTTCTCCCTCTTTTATCAGTAATTCTCTATATTTTTAAAATTGATTCCTAAATATTGAATGTCCACCAAGTGTTTGAAAAAATTCCAAAGTGAATGTTCATTTTTTTCTGGATAAATTACTTTATTGTTTTATGCACATGTATAAGACGTTAACATGATTATGATTTGTTTTGCATAAAATCTGCTATCTAAAATATATTTTACTATGGTTTTTCTAATTATACGATTTTATTAAATTTTAGATCTTTTTATGTAAATTTTTTAGTTTGATGTTTAAACATTCTGTAAAATTGTTGAAATATGCTTTCCCAACATTTTTCTATGATAAACCAGGAAACATAGCTAACTTTATTAGTTTGAATTGAAATGTGTTTATTCCATGTTAATATTGAAATGAATTTTGTGTTACACATAAATGAGCATATCATTTAAAAGAAATGAGCATCGATATTAAGTTGTAAAATTAGTATAGTATAAAGTATACTCTGTATATTATATTTACAAATGGTTTAAGTGAGTTTTATCTTATGCCCAAATGAGTATAGAAGTAATGTGCTAAACTTACATGTAAGTTATTGAAATGAGTTTTGTGTTTTAATAAAATGAGTACAAAGTTTAATTTAATGTGCATGAGTGGAAAAGTATAAAGCAAGTACAATAAACTTATATGTCAAAGATTTCAAAATTTTTAATGCTCATTTTGTAAGTAATTTTTGCTCATTTGCTACTTGCACTATGCTCATTTCAAAATATAATGGAAATGCACATCCCGATAGTATAGATATGTTTGACTGTTAAAAAAGATATTCTTATATGTTCTTTAGTAACATTTAATTTTTAAAGACTAAAAATATTTCAATTGCATATTAAAATGTTATATCAATGCATATTTCAAAAGTACCATATTACATTATATTCGCATATTGAAATTCAAAGAAATTGATTATAGATATATTTTGTTGAGTTTTTATAAAAGAAAAAATAAGAAAAACAAAGTGAATTACAATATATGAAGTTGATACCACAATATTCATTATTCGACTCTTAATGCTCATTAGAATACGTCTGATGCTCATTAAGGATGTTTTTACTTGGACTGTAATTTGCTGGTCTGGTCTGGTCTGAACTGGTCTGGTCTGGTCTGGTTTCTTTGTATTTTTATAACTATCCAAGTCTGGTCTGGTCTGGTCTGGTCTGAACTGGTCTGGTCTGGTCTAGACTGGTCTGGTCTGGTCTGGGGCAAATTACAGTCCAAGTAAAAACATCCTAAAAGTGTATTAATGCTCATCTAACGAAAACCGCAATTTTCACCGAAATTATGAAAATGCCACCGTTTTTTAGTTGTGATATCAGCTTTCTTGTAATAACACGGTGCTCATTATTAGACGTTGAATACTCATTAAAAGTGGACCATTGCTCATTAACAGTACACCAATGCTCATTTAAGCAGAAACCACGATTTTTACCTTAATTACAAAAGTGCCACCGAATTATTTTGTTATTTTTTCCTTGGACATGTTACTGGGCCGTCTGTAGGGTATGTACCATATACGTACTCAATAATGACCTAGATATTTCTAATAGATTTTTAGTTGACCAAGATATGAGAATATTTTTGTCAGACAAAAAATATGCGGGCAAGAAACGATGTTTGCAGCTTTGCCGCAAACATATGCGCCGAGTGGCAATCGTGATGACCAACCCTCTGAGACGAACATCAGCGATTAGCGGACAAGAAACGATGGCACCCAACTTGTGGCGAATATTGCCGGTAGTGTCTCTACAAGCGTGGAGAATGTGAGTGGCGGCGGCAACCACACTAGCTATGGTGCTGGCCATATTTGATCCTATCTCCTTCACCTTTGTCTTGTTTTTTCATCACCACTGCCCATCCGCTCCATCTTGTCGTTGGAGCATCCATTGCTGCCGCTAGGACTCATGTTTGATGGACCCCCGGTTTGTTTCAGTGACTAAAGTGTGATTTACAGGAGCAATGAAGGGCGGGTGTGTTGGGTTGATATCCTTGGGGTAAGGGTGTGTTAGGTATCGATGGATGGGAGGATGTGGATCACTTGTTCAGTGAGCGGTGGTGGTCATGCTTAGGACTGTTGGGTCGGTGTGGTGTTTAGTCATTGGGGTGTTGGGTGGAAGTTACTGAACACGAGTCACTACAAACGAGCATTGAACACATGTCACTAAAGTGAATTTCAGTTACTATGGCAAGTCATCATGTCATTTTGACTATGATTTAGGAGCGGATCACTAATGGAGAGCGACTGAGTCACTGTTTTGGGGTTTGGGCGACCGAGTCATTAATTGGGTAGTCACTAATGGCGGCAGCGGTCATTAGAGGCTGGCCAAAAGGATTGAACTATTATTAATTAGTTATAAAAATGGAAAAACACAACCACTAATTAATGTAATATTAAATGAGGACATAAATAACATGGTAAGTCACATTTTTGAAAAACTTAAGAAATAATCACATTTTTGTCTTTTCTAATTATTTCTGTTGTATATAACTATATATATGTTCAGAAATATAAATGCATGTAGAAAATCATACAAGAAACGCATGTTAAAAGTATATAAAAATTTAGGTTTCATTTTAGCAGTTAAATTTGGGGCACAATAAATTTATTTATGTTGTAGGGAGAATTGTCCGTAGAGTTTCATTACCGAATACTCCTATAAATAGGGATAGAGTAGGGTTTACAAGTACGGGCCAATAGGCCCAGATTACATAGTTTACATAGAAATAACCCTAATACATATTCTATATAAACGATAACACACTACATAGAATTTCCTTCAACACTCCCCCTTGTGCTGAGTTGAATAGAATTTGGTATCTGTCTTGTTGACTCGTCAAAACCTCTGTCAAGTAATAAAAACCCTGTGGGAAAAATAATCTTGACTGGAAAAAGGAGTATAGTATCACAATAGACTTCGTCCATTAAGTCTGTCTTTATTTGATCCCTGCTTTGATCAATAAAGCGTATATGTATTGTTACCTCATTAAAAACCTTACCAAGTAACAAAACCGATGGGAAAAATAAAACTTGGTTAAAGGAAAAGAGTATAACATAATGTAGATGGAGAACTCCCCCTCAAGTCTACACATATCCTTGGTAATTACATTAATCAAGGATGTTTGGAAAGTCTATGCATTCTAATACTTTTTACGTTAATTACCTTAGCGAAGGCACACAAAATAGAGGAATATATTTCCTTTAATGTGCCAAGTATAAGGTGATAAGAGTAAGCAAAATTTAACTTGCTAAAACCTTGCCAATGAACAAAACCCAATGGGAAAAATAAACATTGGTCGAAGGAAAAAGAGTACAACGCACCATTATAATTGATGACAAATAAGTGTGTAAGTACTCCCCCTGAGTGCAACACATCAATAAGAATCTAACATTTACTTGATATATACTTTTATCAAGGTATTCCGTATATAACATCATGGTCTCTTTCAAGATAAATAAAATATCAATGAGGTAAGGGGATACCCATCATCAATAAAACTCAAATCATGTTACTTTGTGTTAGAGTAATACTTTTGATATTTTCAATTCCTTTAGAAATATTGTTATCATCAATCATTTAATTCAATTTATAAGGGATGAATAACGATTACTCCAATGGTTTCATATAGATATCAAAGCACATTCTTGATACCATTTCAATGACGATATATGATGTGTTGGTCCTGAGCTATTTTTAGCTAACACGTTATTGAGAATGTAATATTTGGTCGAATGTGTTGGTCAAAGTACAATCATGCGCATATTGCACTTACATAGGGAATTTCTCCTCCCCATAACTTTTCAGTAATGGAACTTTTCTAGTATCCATATTTCAACCAATCATGGGAGTGCTAACAGTTTACATTTATCCATGTCAATTTTGCCTGAGAACCCTTTTGGATATATGCAACTGGTGAATTAGTATTCAACCAACTCGGTGTTTAATTTCAAAACAGAACCAAGTTTCCCAAGAGCTTTTATCTCAATTATGATTTTCAAGTATCTAACATGTCTCATGTTCCATTATGAGTACATATTATGTCCATATCATGGAGATACAGTGATATTTGGAAACAAAATTTATTTCCATTATAAATGCGCTAGGCATAATATATTCATTTTGCATCCCTTTTCAGTCAAGTGGTCACTTAGACGGGTATGTCACTCCCGTCTGGATTGATTTAATCCAAATGCGAACGTATATAATGTTATTAAAAACCACTTGATAAAAACATAAGTGCTTCATAAAAACATAACTGCTCTTAAGTAAGATTGAGACATTTATTTGGTGACCCCAATCTTTAGTTGCGTCTCCATTACTTTGGAGGCTACTTAAAGATTAAGTATTTGAACATTTTTGTGTTCAAAATAGAGAAGTGTATGTAACTTTTCATATTTGAATCCAGGGCGTAGTGAGAATAATTAGGACCTCATTATCTCAATACGCTTTTTAACAAAGAATAATTTATGTCCTACAGGCTTTACACTTGGTTGATTAGCACTATCACACCAAATACCTGTCTCTTTGTTAAATATTAAATTTATACCTGAATTACTTGTACGCTTTTAGGCCAAAATTCTCATTGCTTTCATGTTGCAATAGAGTATGGTTCGATATCATCGTGCTCTATATTCGTTTGAGCAACCGTAAATATATCGTCAATATAAGTGTAAGGTCTATCATTTGACTCATACACACTCTCATTAACATGGAGATTTTAATTCTCTGGAATCATTTAAACTTCGGGGCGTCCCCCATTATTGATTCATGGACATG